TCCCTTTTTAGGTGCTGGCCCGGCCGCATGGCATTCGTCAACTCAGAGCTCTGGGAGCTTCATTCCCGACTTGGGAGGTGAGCCACGACCCATACGGGATAGGACAGATTTGCCCGCCTTGGTGGGGTGCTTTCGGGCATGCTCAGCACACAGCGACGCGCAAACAGTACAAGGCAGGATGCCTCTGATGACCTCCAAGGTGTGGGAGGGGTGGCAGTCAGCAGCGCCAGGGTGCCCACAAACGCCGCCCAAGGCGGAGGTCATCTTCAAAGGGGCACGTGGAAGGTCCCGAATCACTCCCAGGATGGCACGCACAAGGCTAGAAAGCAGAAAGAGTCCACGCCAAGAAAACGACAAAGTGCATTGGGAGCACCACACAACGGAAGACTTCACCAGAGGATCGTGCCGATTGGCAGACAAGCGGTTTTACTGGGTAACCACCGTTCGGCCACCGCCTCTATTGCGTCGCGGGGAGGAAGAGGAAGATGAGGATGAGGATGAGGAGGAGGAGAAGGAGGAGAAGCAGGAGGAGGAGGAGGAGACGGACGAGGAGGGAGGATCATTTCCATTGAAGGAACTGCCTCTTTGGAAGACAACCGTTTGAAGACCCTGAAGCATGCCAAACCATCGTTCTCGGGATTCCAACGCCACGGATCAACCTGACTGTTGCGTCTTGACAATCCTGAACCATGCCAGGGCGCCATTCCTGGGGCTTCAACACAACGGATCAACATAACCGTTGCGCCCGCATAATCCTGAACCCTTTCAACACACCATTCCTGGCACGTTGATGATGGGAATCCGTGAAACTCTGGCAACGAATTTAAACTACTGTGCGCCGCGCTACGGCGAGAACCACCTGTTGAAAAAGAACCGCCCTCAATCCGTGTAGCTCTTGCAACGGTTAAAAAATGTGCGCCGCGCTGCGACGAGACACACATTCCGCATACCACCCACCCTCAATCCGTGAAGCTCTTGCCATTTCTTAAATCGAAAAGACTGTGCGCCTCGCTCGACGAGAACCACATTGTGAAAACCACCCGCCCTAAATCCGTGAAGCTCTTGCAACTGTTTGAAACGAGTACGCGCCGTGCTAAAACGAGAACCACATCTTGAAACCGACACGCCCTCAATCCGTCAAACTCTTGCAACATTTTGAAGCGAATGTGCGCCGCGCTAAGGCAAGAGCCATATTTTGAAAACGGCCCGCCCTCCATCTGTGAAGCTGTTCCCTATGTTTAAGCTTGAGGGTCATAAGTGGTGAGGAAATCTCGCTCAAACCGCTGGGCCCGTCCAAAAAACTGGCCTCGGGGTTCGACAGGGAGAATATAATTATACGGAGAAGGGCTGGAGGGACGAAGGGGGGGCAGCGAGGGGGGAACCCGAGAGAGAGGAGGGGGAGGGGAGAGGCATGGGGAGAGGGCTGGGACAGAGGAAGGGGCGGGCGAGGACGGCAGGGGGACGCGCAGAGGCAGACTCGTACTAGATGTTCTCCTTGGAGGCGCGCGTCCGACCCGAACATATAGTATACCCATCGTGTTGCAGAGCGTTTCCCGAGCGGTGTGGCCAGAAAGCGCCCGCCACGGCGCATATACTACGAAATTTCTCGGTGCGCGCGTCGCCCCTGGGGGGGGGGGGGGGGG